GGTATATCAGCATGAAGTTCATCTGAGTAATGTTAAAGAATCCAGTCCGTACCTCACAGGAAACATTACGTCTCCGCTACAGAGCCCAACCGGTTAATGCTGTTTAGGGAAACAGTCGCTGTTTATTGTGAGAACCGTATGGAACAAATTATGTGGTACATATAGTAACCGCTGTCTTTTAATGGGTTGAACCAGACACGAATTTAATGCTGTAAACTGTTTTCTGAATGGGAACTTGGAAGAAACTCGTGTTTCCTTTGCTTTGGATTCATTAATCAGAATCTTAATTTGAGTGAGTGTCTCACTACGAGAAAGAACAAGAACATCCTCCCCACCCCCTCCTCGCGCCTTGTAAAGCGATTTCGTTTCAAAACATAATTCAATAGTATCGTACGGACTTACGCGTATTTTCTTGAAAGGGGATTAAAAGTTGTTCCTGCGATAACTTTGTGTTCCTTACGCAAAGCTAAAAGTAATTTAATTATATCGGTTCGTGGGTTAGATCTTTATATGCTCTAAATTTAAATTATAGAAATGATGTCTGAAAACCGAGTTGTGAAGTTGCTCTGTTAACATAAGCGGAAGTTGTTTTCGACGCCGGTGAGAGAGAGAGAGAGAGACGTGATGGTGACGCTGATACGAGTCGCAGGATCCTCCCTGGAGCTGGGTTTCCATGGTTTTTCTTTTGCTTTCCCGGTTTACTTGCCTCTGTCTGGAATGGATCTCCGATCAGCCTCTCAGTAAGAGCAGTGCTGTCTGGGGATCAGCGAAATCTTAAGACAGGAAGTACTGCAAACGTTTCGATAATTTATTGTTCCCGTTGTGGATGTAGTTCATTGCTCCCTCGGTGTCAGAGCTGTGTTGCATCGGACGTTGGAATGAATTGGGAAGGATATGGAAGGAAGCGCCCATATTCGGGTGTCTGGAAGGGCTTAATAAAACCACGAAAACCCTCAGTCAAGATAGCTGGTATGTAGGGCGAGATTCGAACCTATTGCTCCCCGAATGCACACGCAGAAGTCTAGCGCTGCTGAGGCCGCTCGTTTCATTCTGAACGTAATTGTTTAACTCACAGTTTCCTTCCTAATCCTTACCAGAAGCCGTGCAGTAGCTAAGCCTTCGCGAGAACAAAACCGAATCCTCTTACAGTTAAGGGAATTAAGTATTCAGTCTGCTTTCCGAGAGCGAACTGGACTGGACCGACCGAGCGCTACAGGCGGGCTCACAGCGCTGTGCTGCATACACGGCGGCACGGATGAATGTTCTTTGCGCTGTTACTCGTACATAAAGACACGATTGGTTTCGAAGTCGCTTCTGTGTATACGTGTATGTTGTGAACTGGCGCGCGTCAGCTGCGAAATTCTCGGCGGAATTCGATAAAACTTGATATTTTCGGCCAACAGTATTACAGAATCTGACAGAGAAATCTTACTTTTGTGTGTGTCGGTGGAGCATAGCACGAATGTACATAAATCCAGTTTAAGATTTTAGAAGTGTTCTCGTACTGTCAGCGAATCAGCTACGCAGCATTTCTCTCGTGTTGCTTTATTTACGACTTGGCTGAAGATGAGTCCTGGTCAGTTCAAGTTGTACTTTATTGGACGTAATCGATTTGTGGTTCGGAGCAGTACAAAGAGTGATAAAGATTGGACGTAGAAATAATTACGAAACTTGTTTACTAAGGACAGTAAAGTGTGTGGTTGACAGAGTGGCGCTGCGGCAGGTTCAGTTGGCCAGTAGTGGCTCCAGTATCACGTGGTCTCAGTCTCACCGCACTAAGAATAAAGAAGAGACCAATTTTAATAATATTAACCGTCGGGTTCTCATGGCCGTGAGTATTAGGAACACCGCCATTCGAGTTTCAGTGTCGTATATTTCGGAGAGAGTCTGACGTTTCGGAGGAGCATATATCCTCCATCTTCATGGTCAAAGTAAGCGGAACAAGTCCAGCTTGCTGCCTGCTTCTGTTGGTTTCTATACCTGAACGCACTTCTCTAGTAATTTCTGTTGTTTGTCAGATTGTCCCCTGGGATATGGCGAAGTGCTGTCCCTTGAAAATCAACCGACGTTTCGGAGGAACATGTCAAGAATAAGCCAGGCACGCAGAATGGATGGGAGATATATCCCAGAAGACAAACTCTATCCTACCCAGTATTCAGAGTGGCAAGGTCTGTAGTTCGCCTTACCAAGAAGCTGACACTCGCTCAGCTAGCCAAGAAATTCCCCGCCCTTGTTCAGAACCTGAACGTTCAGGAGGTCCCGCCTGGCTGCGATGTACTTGAGGGCCGCTTGCCTCAGCGGCGGCCGCCGGCTGTTCCCTGTCTGAGCTGTCTCATGAAGCACGCCATTTTCACATCTGTTCATTTTAGTTTTCTCACCTTCGCCATTTTCCACGTTTCGTTAAGGTCTTTTCTCAGCATGTTTTTCTTGCATGGAGGTTCCATGTGGTTTTACACTCTTACGGAGAGCGCTTCTCTGCTCTCCTCTCACACACCGAACCGCGCTCTCGAGTTGTCGGTAGGTCGTGGGTTCAGTTGTCGGCCCGGAGACCGGCTTGCTTTCATGGTCTTCCTCCGTGCCTCGAATCAGGACATGACCACTTCCTTCCATACAACTGCCAGTTCGTCATTCATTCACTGTGCCCCCGTGAAAACCGGAAGTGTTGCCGCCCTTGTGAGTCACCAGCTCGACTGTCAGTGTGTCGGGCTTCCAGTGACTGCGCATGCGTGTAGAGCGTAGGCCCCACTTCTAAAATACGTACATGTCCAGGAGAGAACAAAGCTTTGTCCTGGAGCTCTAGGAGACGTGGAGCCAGAAATGACTGTGCTGGCGAGGACAGCAGCACTGAAATGAAACGGTGGAGGAACAGGGCGAGAAGCGCTGCGCACGCAGTGACGTATGGAGGAATGCAAACTCCACGGAAGATGAGCATTGGGACATCCATGAAAAAGATGGAGAGAAGAATTCAAGACATCATAGGTCCTTTGGCCTAATATGTGCAGAAGAAGGAATATGGTTACGGGAGTGCCTGTGCGTAGAAGCTGTATTCCAGTTCCGATCTTTTCACGTGTCACAGCATTCCGAACCGGCTTTGTGCCCAACTGAACTTCCTCCTGCCCCCCCCCGCCCCACCCTCGAGCACGCGCCCTCTTCACATCTTACTGTGAAAAGGGGTAAAAGGGATGAGTTGAACTGCTGAAAGGGTTCCGAGGTGAAATTATCATCATTGTCGGAGCCAGGGGTTGGGGTGGGGGCGGGGGTTGTGTTCAGAGAGCGTGCAACACAGCCCTCAATAATTCAGCGTCTACTGAGCCGTCCATTAAGCGTCTCTTATTAAACATTTACCTTGGGGGCGGCGTCAGGACGACTCACGGTGTTGTCGGCCCGGCTTGTAGGACGTCGTATCAACTGGTGTATCAGAGGACGAGAACCCAGGTTAAAAATGCGGGAGTACCCGGTCTTCGTCCGGGCTGATGCTGCTTGCACTGTAAAGTAGGAGTAACGTTTATTACGAGCCGAAGTATGCTCGTGCAGAGCATCTCTGCCGCAACACTTGCCAACAGTACAGTGTAAATTTCCTGTGGTCTTTGGTATGTTCTCTGTTAGGTCCGCGCCAGGAGAGCACACGCTTACGTCACAGTTGCCCTTGTTTACCGAAACGGCGAAGCGGAGGAAATTGTGTTCAGAGTTGGTCTGTCTGCCTATAGGAAGGTGTTGAATAAAAGGGGAAGCGTTCAGAAAATTCCGCGGCTGAGCAGAAGGGGCTTATCAGTATGATGATGATGATAATGGAGACCGGAAGTAAGCAGCACTTCATAATAAGCGCAACCAAACAGCACAGCAAGCGGATTTTTCAAATCGTTTGTACTTCACGTCTTTTCTTTAGCGAACAGACTGTCAAACAGGAATTAAAAGAAACATCTCGAAACGATAAAAGGAATCTCGCATAAAGCGAGAGAGAAAGAGAGAGAGTTGGGCCGAGATGAAAAGGCGGTTTTCAATCCACAGACCAGAGTGAGCTCACAGGGAAGTGAATCTGCGTTGTTGTGTTTGTTTACATTGTTTGTGTTTGTGTGTTTGCAGCGAGAGGGCTCGCCCCCGTGCAGGTCTGTACTACGAATTCGTGTGTTTATGTGCAGGGGCGTGCAGCGAGAGAGTTTGCATGTGAAATGAGCACCTCCTCAACTTAATACACTTCAGGTGCGTTCCGTGAAGCTGCGGGCTGGACGGCTGGGCTTCGATTCCCGGCAAGGGAAAGAGATCTTTTTCTACTCCACAGCATCCCTACCGGCTCTGGGACCCACCCAGCCTCATATCCAGTGGGTACCGGGGGTTAAAGCGGCCGGTGCATGAAGCTGATCTAGTGACATTAGGATGGCAAGTCAAGGAGGAAGACACGAGTTGTTTGTTTAACGACGCTGCCGGAAGCGCAGTGTGTGGCGCCGAGTTGTACATGGTTATTGGTGAATGATGAATTGGAAAGGACGGGGAAGGAGGCGCTAGAGGGCGCATTTGGGGTCATATCCAAGCATTTGCATGAAGGGGACTGAGGAAAAGCACAGAAAATCTCAGTGAGTGAGATGGAGGCGTCTTGTGACTTGGAGATAAGAAACGGCGCAGAGTTTGAGTGGGAAACAGGGAAGGGAGGACGCCACTTCGAGAGGCAGACGTGAACGGGAGGCTGATATTACAGTTGAGCTTAGAAGCAAATGCGAGGAAGAGACAGGATAGAAATGGGGCGCGGGGCTCAGAGTGACAGGATGACGGATATCGGTATAGAGGTAAGGACTGTCGGATAGAAATTTGTAAAAACGCCCGGAAACGTCCGGACAGCTGCATCAATATGGACAGAAGATGCCAAGGGGTGGCGTCTCGCAGCGGCTTGGGAAGAAGGGTCAGTTTTTTAGTCGCTGTAACCTGAACAGACCGACATTTCGGTCTTTGCGGGCGTGGAGTGGATTTAAGTGGCTCTTGTGAACAAGTTGTTTTGCTGTCCACAGGTTCCACAACGGGCCGCGGAAGCTGAGTGAGGCGATGCGTGACTCCATGAGTCACGATCCCGTGGCCCCCGTGCTCTGGGAGCCCCACCTGACGGCCCTGGACCGCCGGGTCAAGATTATCCTTCAGGGCATCCGAGACTGCATCGCCAAAGACGACGCCGTGGACGCCATTGTACAGAACGACGTCTCCTAGCGGCGGCTTTCGCAGCCGCGCAGGCGCAGAAGCAGCTCCAAGAGAAGGCCCGTGTACAAGAGACGACGGCCTCCGGAAACACTCCAGGACGACCGTCGTGGAGTGGACATCGTTGCTTGGTTGTGACGTGACGGACAGACGAACACTCATTGGCCGCGAAATGTTTACTGTGCTGAACCAGTAGATTTAAGGTGTATATAACTAATTGTGTGCGATCATTATGGGAGTGATTCTAACGTTGTTGTTGTTTGTTGTTGTTGCTGTTGTTGCTGTTCTTGTTGTTGCACTGTCACAATGATAAGGGCTTTAACTGTAAATAAAACTGTGGGCACGTCTCCTGTTCCAGAGGTGTTACGTCACGCATTTCTGCCTTTATTTTGTACGCGGCAGGTGTTGGGTATTGCCATTGCCCTCCTTGAAAAGCTGATAGTCACCTAGATGGTCAAGAAATTCGACACCTTTTGTGAAACCCGCAGGTTAATTACCATGCTCGCAAGAGCCCGCTACTGGACCCTATCCATAGTTCACACGTACTTACCATCCAGTTCATTGTCGTTTTTCTACGTGTCCCGCCCATCATGAGACTGGGGGATGCTGCGTGCTGCTGGCTGCAGTTATGCCGCTGCCGAGCCCCGAGGGGGTGGGGGCTAGGTGGCTGCTCGGCAGGGTGCGGTGTGGTTACCTCACTCAAGTTTTAAAATATTAATTCAGTGAATACTGGCTTTCAGTTCACCTGCGGGGCTTCGGTTAGCTCAGGGTAAAGTTTCGTGGAACTGCAGGTGTTGTTACCTCGGAAGCGGTTGAAGTGAGACGCAGCCTGCTGCTACTCTACTTGTTCCCGAACTGTGGCCCCGGAACGTACAAGTAGGCTCTTACCGTAAAATCCTTTCGCTCGCACGCACACACACACACACATATATATATATATATATGCGTGCGTGCGTGCGTGCGTGCGCGTGTAATAACCCTATAGAGGCGAGTTGTGGGAGCCGGGATAGCTCAGTCACTGTGGCGACTGGCTATGGGGCTGGACGACCCCGAGGGGTCGGATTTCGAGTCCCGGTAGGGTCAAGAATTTTTCTCTTCTCCCCGCCGGCCAGACCGGCTTTGGGGCACACCCTGCTCCCTATCCAACGGGTACCGGGGCTAAAGCGGCCAGGTCGTGAATGTGACCACTTATCTCTGACTAATGCCGAGATCGAGAATACGTGGATCTATACCTCAACTCCACCACGCGCCTTCATGGCGTAGTGCTTAATGGTTAGGCACAGGGTACAATTTCACCTTATAGAGGAGAGCTGTTCTTGATAAGCTAGCAGTCGCGGAGCTGGTCAAGGAATTCATTACCATACCAAACACGGAGTGCCACTGGTTCTTATACTGAGGCAGTTGATTCCCATCCACAGTTTCACGCCCTATTTTCTTAAGATCCATTTTAATATTATCCTCATATGCCGAGCATATGTTTATGCCTCCAAAATGTTCTCGTTCTTCCATTCGGGCTTTATGGCAAAATCTTACATTGCGCATTTCCCACATTCGTGCTATATCTCCTGCCCATCTCATCTTTATGTCAACACCCCCACAATATCAGGCGATTAATTACAAGACACGGAGCTCATCATGAGCGGATGAGCAGGCTGGCACAGCGGTGCGCTGTAGACTCGCATGCGGAAAGCCCTCGGTTCGAACTCTGCTTCGACACGGGCTGTCCAGACAAAGGGTTTCTATCGTTTTCCTTAGTCTCTTCCAGAAAATTCTATGACAGGACGTCGTTTAGGTCACGACCGCTTTGATGCTGGACGCTCTGAATTCCTGACAGCCAGAGCCTTCCTTCCCTCTTTCTGTCGGCGCCGCAGAGACGCCCGTCAGTCAGACTGTGTGCGGGCATTTAGTGCCCCTTGGTACATGCGGCCCGCGTCTTGATTGATGACCTGCGAGGGAAGTACTGCAGGTCGTGTACAAGGTGTCACAATGAAGTAGAGGCCTGTGCAGGCGCCGAAGCATTGCTAGTCGCATTGATGGAGGCGATTCAGCTTGACGCCCCGACCGTTTTACCTCCCCCAGTAACCATTTGATAAGAGTCTCTATAGGGCCTCAGAGGGAGTTTGGGCGCTGTCGGCTGTTTCCAGGGTTCCAACCTAGATCCCGCCACCATCGAAACATCGCTTGAAGCGTTTTCTGAAGCTCCAGATACGAGCAGGCCTGGAAGAAAGAAAAAAGAATTTGGTGGGAGGGAGCAGTGAGATATGCCACTTTTTGGGGGGGGGAAGTTCTTCCAGCTTTGGAGGTTCCCAGGCAGTGCCCGCTCGTCCTTCTCGTAGAGGTAAGTTTGAGGGAGGGTAAAGCGTTGGGAAGTGAAGAAGGTAAAGGGGTTGGGAAGTAGATTTCGTTATGGACAGATGACAAGTTGAGCAGGGACCGGACTGCGCATGATTGGAATTTTGACATTAACATTTGGAGGGCTACATTAGGGCGATATTATGATGTTACCAGCGGAAGGGTTGTACAGACAGTTCTGTCCGTTGCTTGTTATTGTTCTGTAAGATTGGCCTTAATTGTTGGCGACTGAAGTTCCCATAACCCAAAGAAGTTTTATCTAGCCTCAGTGACTGACAGACGCTGCAGGTTCAATCTGTGTGCTTCTTGTCTGATGGACAATTGATTGCCCGAATGTCATGTTACCAGAGAAGCCCAAGATTAATTAACCACTGCTGAATTGTATCAGTGCTTCCCGTGTGAGGGCAGTCGGAATAACAAACAGTATCGCTGTCGGCGTCAAAGGATACCGTAATTAATAGAATTTTCCGCAGAGCACAAACACAGCCGTGCGAAATATCTGCATAAACGACACGTTTGTCGATACATGTTGCCTGTGGAAACATTGTGTGTTGCGCCTGGGAGCGCTGAGGCATGTGCGTCCGACTCGTATTCGGGAGGGTCCCGTTCGAGTCTCTGCAGGGACGTCGACCATCCTGACAGGCTTTTGTTGGTTCTCCTACGAAACTTCACTACTTTCTTGCAAACCTCTAACCGTTCACTATCATCGGACCACTGGACGGTGTGTAGTCTCAAGTTACTAATAGCGTCGTTAAACAAGTGGCGAGAATGCGGAGCCGTTAAGCTATCGTTTAACCTCTGAAGGCGCAGAATCAGGGGAAATCTGAAGCCGACATACTGGTATTCTGCACGGGCCTGAGCAGTGCTCACTAGCCTGGCTGTATGTGTAAGGACTGTTCATTCGTGTTAATATGGTGCAGTTCT